CTGGCTGACTCCCCTTTGCCTTTGGCTCTGTATTCATGGCTTCACATCTCATCACCCATTGCTGTTGCTGAAGCTGTCTCTGCACAGAAATCTCAAGGGCCTGGCAGCACAATCTTGGGAGAAGTGGGAGCTGAGGAGGCAAGGGAGAGCCAGTCACCCACCTCTGTGCTGATGCAGTAGCCATCAGTCCACCATGGAAAATCACAGAATCACAGAATGGCCAGGGTTGGAAGGGACCTCAAGGATCATGAATCTCCAACCTGCCACATGCAGGGCCACCAACCTCCCCATTTAATAATAGACCAGTTAATACTAGACCAGGGCTGCCCAGGGCCCCATCCAATCTGGCCTTGAACGCCTCCAGGGACGGGGCATCCACAGCCTCTCTGTGCAGCTGTTCCAGCACCTCACCACTCTCTCTGTAAGGCAACAGCAGATTCTGAATGAAGTTGTCCAAACTAGAGCAGATGCAGTGATGGTCCAGAAGGAGGCAAGAGCTCCATGGGGGTGACCAGGCACCGCACACTTGTTTCAGAACCTGGAAAATATACAAGACACAAAAACAAGATCTCCGTATCAATGTTTCTGGCATAGCTCTGTAAATTCTGCCTAAATGTCATTTTAGTTATGTAATTTTTGTCACAGGAGTCTTCCAAATAACTTTTTTTTTGGAAATAGAAATGTGAACATATCAGAATCCATGTCATAATTCAGGCTAACCTTCCGTATTTTATTTCACTTTTTTATCCTGAGATTTTAGTGCTTTCTTTATGATGAAAGAAATTGAAAAGGTTTGATTTTTGTTTTCTTTTTTGTTTGTTTTTAATGGTGTTCTGAACAAGCTCAAAATGAATGGGAAATACTTGTGTTCCACACAGCATTACTGTATGCTATGTATCAGATACCACCAATAGAGAAAGACAACCTGGGAACAGCAAACACTTCCAGTGAATTATAAATATGCTTTTGAGTAAGCTGAATCTCATTTCAAAACGCTCAGAATATTATCCCACTAAATCAAGTATTTACCGTGGATCCAGTCCTGCAGCCTCCATTCATGTGAACAGTCCCATCCATAGTAAGAGGACAGCAGAGGTAAAGGCCATTCCTGAGCACACATTTTCAGAATCCGCTGTTCTTTCCTTACATGCTTTAAAATCAAAATTTTACATTTACAATCACATTTTCTGTGGCAAAGAGTTTTTCAAACAGTCTCCATTTCCCATCTGGTTAATCTTTGCAGATAAGATCCGTCGTAAACACAGGCATTACTTTTTGGCAAACATTTGGATTTTTCTCAACAGTTTTTCTTCGAGTCAGAAAACGAAATCATTATTTTAATGTCAACGTGTAAGCAACAATAAAAGTCTTCAAACTATACCATTACATTTGATCCTTTGTATTAAAAAATACCTCTTCAAAGAATTTCTTAATCAGCAGCCATAAGGCCTAGAGACTTGTAGGTGTTAATATTCCTGCCATGTTTTGCATTCATACATACATACATGTCACTCCTAAGGCCACAGAAGAGGTCAGCATCAACAAGCAAAGAAACTCTGAATTTCTACCTCCCATATTTCCACCAATAAATAGATACTGATACTTGTATATAATCTGTTAAGATGATAAATTCTAAAGGAAGAAAGAAAGAGAGAAAAGGAAGGAGAGAAAACAATCCCCAGGGGTTTATCAACAGAACTCAAATTGCTTCCAGGCATCCAACGTCAATAGTATACACATACTTATACAGGTACTGACACGAGACATGATTATTCAGTATTCAGAGTTCTTGGCTTTGGTCAGCCAAACAGTTAAACACGTGCTGAAATTGGAGTGTGTGAGGAGCCCTAGTGAAACATCAGATGACTGCCTGCCAACCACTTCAAGCTCTGCATACTGCTACTGCAGAGCGTGCTTTTGCTGCCGTTCAGCTATTTTCAATGTTTGAAGTTAAAACACACATTGAGTACAATTTCAGTTCTTTGTTACTCCACTGCAGCATGGGAGGTGAAAAAAAACTCAAAATTCTCCACTGCTATCCCCAGTGCAGATCAGACAGTGATATCTATGGCCAAGACTGAAACTCACAGCAGGTAACCCAGGGAAAGTGCGTGTTTACAGCCTCTAAAACCCCAATTTGCAATGGCGAAGGCAACCAAAGTCCTTAGGAAAGCTCCTGGAGTTTAGACACAGACAAGACTGCAGAAGCTCCATCTTGCACTACAACTCAGCTACTCTTTTATTCCAACCTATGCATCCCAATGGATCAAACAGGCAGCAGCAAAGCACCCTCCAGGTAAAACCCCCTATGAAATACTGCAAAGCAAGAATTCCTGTCTGCTGTCTTCACCAATGGTCCAGCCAACTACTCGCTTTACCTTCCAGAAGTACTTATTATTAAATAGGTCCATCAGAAGAGGTTGGATAAATCCTCTCCCAAAACAGGGAGCCATCCAGTGACAAAGCACTGCATCCAAAGACAGATGGTGGAGGGCCACATCATCTCACAGAAACGGAGGAGTGTCAAAGGCCACTGTTCTTACATTTATCTCATCATGACAAATAACCAGAGTCAAGTGCCATAACATGCCAGTACCGAAGCTTTTCCTCATAAGGTCAGAGGAGCAGGCTGCCCCAGAGGCTGTGCTGTCTCCACCCTGAGAGTTTTCAACACCAGACCGCACAAAACCCAGCTGCAGTTTCCAAATGACCATTGTAATGAAATATTGTATTTTCAAATGCATATTTTATAGAAGCAGGAAATGTTTTTCACCTTCGTTCTTTCCACTAGCTCAGGAACATGCTTTTTCCCTCTTAGCAAAAGCTTTTAGCAGTTGAGATGTATAATCTGCGTGGAGGAGTTTATGGCTGTGCACGGCACAACGCCTGGATGTCAGCTGAGACTCAAAAAGCAATGTCTTTTCAGCTGCACTAGAAGATGTGTTTGATAAAGACAGTGAGCATATTTAATGCAGATAGAAAATTGTACTGTGGGAGGCTGTGAGAAGCCAGCCTTACTCTGTTGCCCTTGGACAAACAACCCATGCTGTTCTTAGCAAGTGTGTGTCTTTAAAAAAGCCTCGTCTGGTGTAGGTTACAAAATTTGCTCTGGCATTTTTTATTTTTTACTTTAGGGCGCCAAATGACAAAGATATTATCACACATCATGTTGGTTTGGCTCTGAGATTTGATATGTGTCTTGTTCTTAGTCTAGCCTTTTCTTCTTTGTCACACTTACGCTATCCAACTGGAGACTGTTCATCAACCTCAATAGACATGTCTACATGCTGATTCACTAAGTCACATATATTTGTAAATGTATTAGCTGGCAGCTAAGAAGTTTTTCTTGATCACAAAGAGCTGAACACTCTCCTAGCAGAGATAATTAGCATGGACAAGTAGGGGCAGGCTATCAGCTACAGACACTGAAATGCATATTACTTGTTGAAGCACGAGTTACTCTTGCTCTTGGATTACATTATCTCATACATTCCTCTCTTGAAAGCTTCCTTTTATTAAGTATATACCATGTATGCCTTAAAGCTAGCACTCCCTTTTTGGCTTGATCCAGTTTGGAGTATGGATAAACCACTTCAGAGAAAACGTCTGGAGATGATGAGAATAGTATTGGCTAATGCCTTGCGCTCCCGACCTTCACTTCATATCCCTGTGCTGGCTCAAAGTCTGTTGATCTGGTTACAGGATCACAAGCAGATGTTGCCAAAGTCTTTTCTGATTTACTGAGTCAGCAACTCAAGGTGTAATAGGGTTTAAGCCTGAGACTCCATCCCAGCTGCTGAAGGAAATGAGGGGAGAAAGAGGCCAGAAAGGGGAACTTCAGTGAGGAATGACAAGAAAACAGGACTTCTGAAGAGTCATTACATTTAGAAAACCAAATGTTATCTGGGAATTCCCACCCTTCCCCCCACAAAAAATTATGCAACTGGGAAGCAAAAACTTCAGGCCATGTACTCACATGGTGGTCAGGTGCTCACTGGAACATGGGACTGCTGGGCTGCCCATTTGGCTTTGGTGTCTTCACCTGACTGAGTTGCAATCCTAAACAAGACAGTCTCATCATAAGTTCTGCTTTTGGAATCAGATGCATTGCTATGAAAAAAAAAAAAAAAATCAGCCCAAAGACCTGCATTGTCTTATCAAAATGAAATATTTTTTTCAGCTTTCACCTGCTGACCTGCCCACTCCAGCTGAGGGTTTCAGGAGAGAAGGCTTTCCCTGGACCATGAGATCCAACAAACACCTCTCAACAGAAATAAAGGCTCATGGACTGATCAGAAGTTACAAATTATTTCCAGTATATAATGTAAAAAGTATTAACTTGTATTGAATCATGAACTGAGCTTACATTTCACCACTGATACCCATTAGAAAGATAACAGGTCACGTTATTCGTTATGTCTTGAAAGACCATCAGAATTGCTGCTAAGGACAGGCTGGAGTGATAACTTTCTATCAATTATTCTGCTTTGGGCAGATAACACAGCTGATCTCACACAAAACTGTTTGATGAGAGTCTTTACTGAAAGAATCACTGCTGTGGGAAGTTCAGAAATGATTTTCAGGAGCTGAAATACAATCAGAATGGAAACCTCAGCTCAACTCTGAGGCCGACAAGGGTAAAATGACACCTTCCTGAGGGCACATCTAAGTGGGGAGAAACCAGCAACCCTTTGGCATAACTCAAACGCAGTGCTTCAGGGGGGAGGCTTCCACACCTCACTGTGCCTATGGAACATGGGCAGCGAGCCAATGGGGCCTGGGGAGAAGGGTGAATGGCACAGCTCCTCCAGCCCAAAGCTGTCCAGCCCCACTCGGGTGGGACCTGGCTGATGCCCAGCATCCCTCTGTTGGATCCGACACACAGAGATGCCCTTGGCTGCTCTCTGATGAATGGCGAGGAGATGAAGCCAGGCTGATTCAAGCTGGAAACACAGCATTTTTATTTTTTTTATTACGTATTTATTTTTTTATTTTTAGCAGAAGCTGTGATTTTAAATAAGGATCTCAATCTGCACTGGGTATCTTCCTAAAAGATGAACCTCCTGCAACTGTGGGGAAGATGCAGAAATACTGTGACCTTAAGAATTTATTTATCTCAAATATGAACTTCATTTCCATTGTATCCCACTGTCCAGAGATGTCAGAGATCAGTTTAATTGCATAGACTGTCAAGACTCCCTGGGAATTGTGTTGCTTTTTTTCTATCTCTCTCAGACAGAATCCATCTTCATATTGAATAATTACTGCCAGAGCTGAATCAGAAGCTGCCAAAGTTGCAGGAAAGAATCCAACATTTTTCTACAAAGATTCAAAGCAAATATGAATTCCCTTTCCTTTTTCCTTTCCCTTCCCTTCCACCACAACCCTTTTCACTTCAATCCCTTTGAATAACTTACCATGAATGAATTTAGTGAGGGAATGGTACACAAGAAATCTTTGGGCAAATCCTCAGCTGTTTCAATTGGCTGCAGTAAAGCTACACTCAGTTACATCCTGAAGATGCACCACAGTGGATGTGAAAAGCTCTCTTGGAGATTATTCACCTCGTATGAATGCAACTGTTCCCATCAGCTATCTCAGCTTAAAGATTTTGGTTATTGAGTCAGGGGACAGAACAATGGTATGGGATTGAGCCCAAGCAATTAACTCTTCCCTCAACTTTATTACTGAATCCTGAAGTGGAATCCCACAGAGAACCTGTAACAATCTTATTCAGATCAAAGCCCCCACTTTTTAAATAATGAGAAGTTTGGAAAACAAAATCAAAGAGCAGCCTATGATTCACACGCAGAAATTTTATAAAAACCACAAAACCAAAAGGCCCTTAATTGAGGCCTTTCAACCCAACCAAGTATTCATTCCGAGATAATTACTGCCATAAAACCCTCTGCCACGGAGACACCGACTAGAAAAGCTTTGAATTGTACACAGAACTTAAGGAAAAAGGTGGCTGGGATCTAACCCTGCTGAGACCTGAAAAGAAGGAAAAGTTCTGGGGGGAACCAAGCCTTCAGTGCAAGTCATTCCCCTGTAAAAACATGTCATCATTGAGAAGACTCTACAACAAAAAAAGACTGGGGAAGATTTGCCAGGAGCAAATCAGGTACTCTTATAAATAAGAAACAAATAGCACTGTACATCACATGGGTAAAATGCCACGAGTAGCATCAAACATTATCTTGAAGAACAGATGAGTCAACGGCCAGCAGTGCAACTAATTAAAGCCAAAATTAAATTGTTTCTAATTCATGGTGCATGAAGAGCTACAATCAAAAAAAAAAAAAAAAAGGGGGGAAGGTCTGCTGTTGGGATTCCAAGCTGCACAACATCAAAACTGTCACCATTCTTTGCTCCAGTCCTGCCTGTTTGGGCACCTCACCAAAGATGAGGGCAACTCTTGGAGCAATGCAGTGCTCAGTCCCTGCTGTAGTCCTGCCTCACAAACAGTGGTTTGGTTTTGTGGTTGTTGGCCAATATCTGAAATGATAGAATTTCCAGACAGGAAGGGATCCACCAGAACCATCAAATCCACTCTCAATGTACTGATTAAGAAGCTTTAGACTGACCAAAACACTTATGAAGTTCTCCAAAGAGATTACTGATTATTATTGGTAAGGACTTTCAGATGAAATGGCTTTAACATAACTTTTACTAAAAATTCTGTATGACAGAGAGCTATACTCAACAGAAACTATTTTTGTCTATATAGATACACATCACAACGGTTGCATGGTTAGTCAAACATCTCTACAAACAAATGCAATTGTTGAAATTTTGAAATGAAACAATTATGGCCCTCATTTTCTGATCAAGTCAATGATTTATTTTGAAAGTCAGATATGTAGTTAACATACAAAGAGGCACCCCTCCAAATATTATGTTTGGTTCCTATGAAAATATCCTTGTTGTAGTAAGGCCAAAAAGACATGCAATCTTTTCTTTTTTTTTTTTTGCTTTTGCTTTTTTTTTTTTTCCTCCTTTATGATATTACAATCAGTATTCTGCATATTGTTAGGTTATATGGGTAGGTCCTGAGTGATGCAGCCCAGCCCTGTGCCCCAGCTTTGTTGCTGGCTCACAACAGAGGCTGAAAGAAGGAAGTTCATTCCTTAGACCTTTCTGTAAGATGAAAACTAAGAAAAGACTGCATCAGTGAACCCAGGACAGCTTTAGGAAAGAGCTCCCCTGACATCATTCGTTTACATCATCTTTGTTTATGCAAGCAATTTATTACTCTCCTGGGGTGCAACTTCTGTCAGTCTGAGCTGGCTTCAGACTAGATGTGCAAGTGAGAGATTCAGCAATACTCATTGCTCAGAGCATCTCACTGCCTCCTCAAGGTCGTGGGCAAACAAGTGAGCACCACCACAGACAGATGAGGTAAAACTAGGCAACCTGTTCCAGTAGTTGTGAGAGTAATTTCAACGTGGGACTCATCATGGGCTTTCTCATAGAATTCTTCAGCTACCATGGTAGAAAGCTGTCTAGCAAATGAGATGCTTTGTATTAAGTGCAAACTTCCCCATAGCCACCAATCACTGAAAGCTCCAAGGCGATACATACGTGGTCCAAAGAAACCATGTCCTTCGCTGAGCTGGAGGATCAATCTGATTCTCTCTTGATTTGAGCACACAGGGGTGGATTCCTGCTGAACTGCTCTGCATTCAGATCTGTCTCAGGTAAGGCTGGAAGTGTCACTACCTGTCTGCAGGTTGGATGAGAGGCAGCTCCAGCTGGGTTCTCTCCAAAAAGGATGACACCATGTAGCCAGGAGACACACAGCAGGGTGCAAGAGTTAGGAAGCTATATAAACAACAACAACAATATTCATAATAGATTGATTAAGGATATCTGTTGTTCAAAACAGGCGGCCACTTGTGCTTCCAATGCTTTTTGCTTACATAAAAACGCTCAAATCATACTGAAACTCACAGCCAGCCATTTGCTATGCTCCAGAAATGCCCATTCCAGCAGTGCTGAGGTATGTAAATCTCAAAACTGTCAGAAAGAACTTCTCCTGTTGTAAATTTTCTGCGCTCCTTTCTTCCTCCCACGCACACAAAATCAGCTTCTGTGATCCACAGCGCCTTGCAGGAGCACTGCCAGCATTATGCCATGGGTTATTGGCATAAGCATCCTCTGATGCTCCAGGTCAGTGCAGAAACACTGCTTTCAACACCTGAACAGAGCACACACTGTGATTTCTGTGCTCAGTATTTTCTAGGAGGCAAAATCTCCCCATTATTGTAAATAATGAATGATTAAGAAAGAGTAGTTCAAAACAGAAATAGACAAAACTAGACTGGGCTACCAGCCACCTGAATGTAGCAGATCAACCTGTCTGCATTAGAGGCAAGGCTTAAAATTGTACTTATCATGCATTTTCAAGCATTTAGTCATCAAGCCAAAGCAGATTTCAAGAGAGGGTTAGACGAGTGCTTAAGCTTAACCCAATCTCCAACTTCTTATCGTGTTATAAGAAACCTGAATGTCCTCAATATCCTCCTTCCTTCCCCGAGCAGCCTGCAGCCAGTCATAAATCACACCGAAATCAGCTTGTCCTGCCTGGCTGGTTCCTTAGGGCTGCCCCACTTCGAGGGCAGAATTAGTGGGAAAACGCAGCACACCCCTTGGAACTCCTGTCGCTGTGAGCGACTGTCCCCATTCCCTGAGCTCTGCTGCCCTCTCCTGCACGAAGTGGAAACTGATGGTTTGAGAAATTCTGGGAGGATTTCAATGAAATACCTCGTTCTTGTGGCTTCCAGATGGGATTTGGTTATGCCCTGAGGAGGGGACAGGAGTTGGAGGATGAGCTGGGAAGGGAAAGTGATGGTGGAATGGAGAGAGGGGAGAGTTAATATAATAGAAAGTAAATATAATAATATTAAAAAACATATACCCAGCCACCAGCCTGTATCTGTGAGGGAGACATCCAGTGAGACAGTATAAAAGTGGGTTAGCTTATCTACACTGCCTACTTACACCACCTCTTGTGCTGGCGGGTTGGAGGCACGCTGCCACAAAACAGTGGAATTTTGGAGAGAAACAAACATAAAACTTCACTGAAAATGAAAACGTGGTGGAATCACAAAGAGAAGAATGCCCTGTGCCCTTAATTCCGTGGTGAGGAATTTGCCTGCAAAGCAGTCAGAAAGAATAAACAGATGATTTCGGTTGGGTTCAAAGAAAGTCTCTTGGCTTTTTGATGAGATGGTTGTGGCATACAATAATAATGTAAAAGCTGTGTGTTAGCCCAGTCCTACTAGGAGTAAAAGCTGCTACCAGAAAATATCACATTCCGGACTGGGCGATCGCTGACAAATCGCCTTCCTGCTCTCCTGGTGTTGGAAGGCTGCTTTTTTCTTGCCATGCATCTCAGCTTGGTTTTAATCAAAACCAGGCATAAGTTGGGAAAGTGGAAAAAGAAAGCAGATGCTGAGGTAAACCGCAGAACAGAGCTGGAAGAAACTGTCATAAAGAAAAGTCTCTTTGGCTTGATAAGTATTCGAGAACTATTTTTCTAAAGGGAAAGGAGAAGGAAAACTTTTTACTTCTTTTTTTTTTTCCAGTTTGAAAAAATAGCTGTGCGTGCCTTCCTTTCCTAAATGTAGGGAAAAGGAAGCATTTTTCTACAGTACTTTTCTTCAGCTCCTATTGACAAGTTGTATAACATAGAAACCAGGAAAAAACCAGTGCTGGTAATTCGCTGGAAAGTCCTCAGACTGGAATTAACACATTTTTGGGGTGACAGGAATTTCAGGTTGTTTCAGCTGCACGGTCACCTGGTGGTTGTTTCTTCCCAACGCACTACAACTTCATTTGCACACACGGGCTGAGGAGACAGCAAAAATAACATTGAAAAGGTCAGAGTTCTCTATTGGAGGAGGCTGGGAGCATTCTGCTAGCTTTGAAACTGGTTCTATCAACAAAAGGAGTCTCTCTTCGTTGTTCAGCACTGCTAAATTTTGCAGGATGGAAATCAGTGTCATCCATTCGAGTTGTCAGTAGGTAGTTTTGTCAGATCTCTCCATTCACTGCCTATAATGAATGCTCGTCAGAAGCAAGGCATGTAGAAAGGGTAAATCGTGTATTTGGGTTCCCCTTTAAAGAAATACAAAGATCCCACCCATTCTGGCTAATTCTGAACTGCAGCTCTGACGCTCAAAGGAAGCAGTCACTACAAAGTACAGTTCTTTGCGGGAAGACAACAAAGCCTCATTTGCTGTTTTGCCAAAATCTGCCCAACCATTAGGAAAGATGAGCTTGAAAAGAACAGAGTTGTGCATATGGCCCAAGAAAACAACTTCGCTGTGTTCAAATCTTCCATCCTGCTTCAAAAACAAAATCAATTTCAGATCTTACCTTTCTGGAAAGTCAAGAATAATCCGCTGTAAAGGTCAATTAGACATTCTATTAAAAGGTGTGTGCCTTTAAAATGGTACAGGGTAAACACAAATACGTGTGAAAATATGACTACTCTTCACATATTATCAGAAAGTCATAAATGGATCAATGGAAGCAATACAACTGTCATGGTATTATCTGAAATCAGGTTCCCCACTAAATGATATTGCTGGGATTAACAGAGCCACAAAGCATGCTTTTAAGTTTCATAGAATCATTAAGGTTGGAAAGATCTCTCAGATCAACAAGTCCAACCATCAACCCATGTCTCTGACCACTCAGAACATGTGACAAATTGAGTAGGCTAAAATTTAAGCACAACCAAGGCAAAGTTACCTTTCTCATCTGATTTTCAGACCCAGTAGAGCAATGTTAGGTCCCTCTTCACTACTGCCTGTGCTGCAGATTCAAACAGCTGATGTACCACGTTCAGCAAACTATACTGCATTCCAGCACTTTCCATACTAAGCAGTGTTGTTACTTTATCAATCACCAGCAATTATGTCCTTAGGCATATTATAGAACACAGGTTTGAGGTGATCAAACCCACTCAGTTCTAAACGATCTGTGACTGTCATTGGGACCAGTAGGGAAATTGTGCCTAACACATATGAAAGATGATCACTTCCTCTTCTAAAAGCAGCCATGAGCATCGTTCCAGTCCAGAAGGCAAAATAACAATTACACAATCAGCATTCAATCCAAGTGCAACAGATGACATTTTTGCATTAAATGAAGACACACAGATTTAGAAAGTTTTTTCTTTTATTACTGTGATTGCACTTCTAGCTAAAGAAACTTTTAAATCACTTCTACGCTGTATTTTCATCATAAAAGTTTCATTAGGGAATAAGCACATGGTATTCTGCACCTTCACACTTGAAAGTATAGAGAAACATTCAGTATCAAAAGCCCTTTGCCAGAGACCCAACAACAAACCATTCTGTGTCATCTGCACAAGTCTGAGTGTGCTTACATTAAGTCTCTGGTGTCCCTGTCCCGCACTACTGCTATTGAAGTCAAGCAAAGGAACTCAGGAGTGCTGTTGTAGTCAATGCCAGCCTGAATTCAGCTCACTGATAATGACATTTAACTTTGCTTAATTTTGTTGCTCACCAGCTAATACTTAAGGCAAATTTCATTGTATATTTGTTTTCCCAAGCAAGTATGTAAGTATCATTTGTAAGATGCTGAACATCCTTAGTGATGTACATAAGATGTGGGACAATGTACGTAAGATACATTATCTTATCTATATAAAACATTCACTTTTAGAGCAACGAAACATTTTCAACTTGTACAAAACCCATCAGTATTGAAAATTCGAACCTTCAGTGTGTTCTCAGAAATGCTATGCTAGATTTTAATTAAAAGTTTCATTACCTCTCTTCAACTCTGGAAGCTAGTGCTCCTATAAGAAGGAATATGGAATACGCATTTACAAATCTTCAAGCACAAGAAGAATCAAAGACAAAATTACTTTAAGTAGAAAAGTCATGAATTACATTCAGATGGGAAACTTCTTACATGATATGATTCTTCTCACTACTGCATACTGAACTTCAGCAGCTCCAACAACTTCCTTTAAATAATTAACCTTTTCAGCCAAGACTTATTTTCACATGCCACAATCTTCCATTTGCAAATGCAGTCTAACATTAGCATCCACTCTTCAGCTGCAAAATCTCTCAGTCAAACAGTAATAAATAGAAAAAACATTTCTAACATGAGGAACAGTGATGAAAACAAATACATCAACACTAAAATACTGTGGGAAGCTGTTTTGATCCTGCTGAAATACTGGCACAAAAATGAAGAGATGCTTTCAGTAGCATCCCTAAGTATATGGACCACAAGATGTGATATCATATAAAGTAATGAAAAAAAAAACCCAACATCTTTTGCTTTATCCAATGTTCTTTCCACCTCTTAATTCAGGACACACTGAAATACCTTACAAAATAATAACTGTGGAGAGAGCATCCTTCTGAACATTCTGAGGAGCCCACCTTACTGCTTTTTGAGGTAGGATAATTTTCCCATCCTTTGATCCCATTGAACAGTCAAGACAAGGCAGAATTTAAGGTGTGCAGGCAGTGCTCAATTACGAATGACACCAAATATAACAATATCTTCATTGAAAAAGAAGACATGTCATAGGTTTCTGAAATGTCAGGAATCTTTCGTAAATAAATCTGTTAAAGATTCCATTCCAGCCTGGTATGAAAAGGACAACAAATGGAACTCATGTAAAATAACAGTAATTTTAAAGAGAAAAATTGGATTTGAGAAAACAACTTTCCAGGAATGATCTGTGTGTGTTTTGTGATCCGTA